CTCTCTCTGCCTGCTTTCACAAATATGCTTTGTTTTTTCATTATCCCAGAGGACAACTCTAATTCGTCCTACAGCCGGCCCTCCCCCACCATCAGCTCCTTCCCCTCCATCCCATTGTCTAAAGTAAATGAAGAGCCCCTCCCCCCACCCCCACCCCCGCCACTCCATCCAAGAGCTCTAGTATTCAAAGGAAACGAAAGAAAGCTGTTTATTTTCCACTTCTCTGTTTTTCTTTTTCATTTAATTACTGGTATCACAACAGGATTTTTTTCTGTTGCTTTTCATTGCAAGCTTATAGTATTTCATCTACATTATGAGTTAAACAGGCTTTTGTGGACTAGCCTAGAGACCCAATCATCATTTATAAGCAGATATGACTTCTCTGGACATGGTTTCTGAATTCCAAATAACCGACTTACTAATGAGGTTTTAGAATAGAGCTCATTTCAGAGCTGGAGACTGTATCTTCTACTTTCTAGGCAGTATGCCTCTGAATGGTCTTGCGGCCTCCCGTTTCTACATCTGTTGTTCTTAGGCTGGATCCCCCAAATTAGACACCCTCCCTGGGGTGACAGCTCAGACTCCCCTGTCCCTTGTTCTCAGCCTATAACCAGCTACTGATACAAAGTTAATTCATGCCGCATGATGTGTCCTGTGTAGGCTTAGCTGATATCCAGAAACCCAACCACAAGACATCAGGCATCCTTGGTGCCTAGATATCGTTCAGTCTCAGGCCCCACCTCTCAGTTCACGTTGGTAAATGAGGCTATTCATGTAACGTTTCCCTGAGGCTCCTTGCTTGGGCATCTGGTACCACATTAGAAATGAGCAGTTGGAGTGGGGAGTGTGTGTGTTTGACCTTCTGAGGCTGAGAGGCTGCTAAACACGGGTGTGGAGGTGACACCACTTGGGACGGACGCAGCGTTCGTGTTCCTCACACCACCACGTCCCACCGCCTCACTCTTGGAGCATCTAGATGCTGCACGGTTGCCGGGGAAACCAGGAAAAGGAACTGTACAAAAGCGACCTCCTCCCTAAGCTCCTGGGCACGCCCTCTTGGGGGTGGGGGTAGAGGAGAAGGAGGGGTGCGTGCCTTCTGGCTCTGTGTGTGTGTGTGTGTGTGTGTGTGTGTGTGTGTGTGTGTTGGGGGGGGGCAATGCCGACACCCAGCCAGCACCCGTCCCCACCCCAGCCTGGCTTTTTCCATGTGTCCTGTTAGCATTACATTCTGCTACCCTCCCCTCGTTCACATTGCCATCAGCTCCTGCCCCAAAGGGATCGTTTCATTTCCTGGAAGTGAAGATGACTTCTCCACTTCAAAAAGAGTAGGGACCTCTGGTTTGTGGTTAAGGTTTGAAATCCAGCTGCTATGTAGCTTGGCAGAACTAACAGAAGTGTGCAATTAAAAAGATTACTAACTCAGCTCCATTTCCTCACTCAATTCAAGGAGAAGGGCTGGGATCCTAAGTGTTTACAATTCCCCATCGGAGCTTTGTGGCCCTGGCTAACGAGGATCCAACTTTGGTCATTCTTGGAATGACCCGGCAGGCTCTTCATGCCTGGTTGAGGGCCTGTGGTGTGCACAGCATCTGAACCGGGCAGTGAAAGAGGGGCTTTACACTAGAGGACATAGGGCAGTGGTATCGCCTTGAGACAGCAGGGGTCGGCGCTACAGGACGTGGACAAACAAAATGCTATTAGCAACATCCACGGGAGGAAAAGGTCATGTCAGCCAAGGATAACGGGGCAGGAGTAGTGGCATTGAAATGGGCCTGAAATACTTCATTTGTTAAGTTTATTGAGTTCCTACCATTTACTGGGAACTGTTCTAGGCACCAGATGAAAGAACCAGCAATTCCTGCCCTCCTGGAGCTTGCATTCTCATGAGATGATAACTCCCACTTATTGGTGAAGCCTTAACACGGGCCAGCGGCTGTATTGCATCCCCAGTGTGCCTTATTTCACTTAAACCTCAACTGTCTTCTGAGGAGAATATTATTATCATTACAGCTTACTGATGAGGAGACTGAGGCTTCCAGCAGTTCAGTAACTCAAGGGAGAGCCACGTGGTGTGAGTGTTGCGCCTTTATGATCCCTTAGGAATTTCATCCATCAGCTCTGTCTGGGATGGATGGAGAGGAGTTTGGACTCTGAGGGGCTTTCTGTGATGTTCCAGGCCTCTGAGGTCACGGTGGTCTGGACTGGACTCTCAGCAGTGGATTATGTGAGACTTGGTAAAGTGAGGAGAGGCCACCCGCTAGGTGGGTGTGCTTGTGTAAGTGCTTTATGGGCAGGGGCTGAGATTCTGATCTGTAGGCAAGGTCTGAACGAGCTGGTCTCTAACTCACTTCCCTACAGGGGCATGGAGACTGTCTTTATTTTGAGAACAACTTTATTAGCGCTAACTATGGGCTGAGAATATGGAAAGTAAGCTTTCCTTGAACTGTAGGGAAGAATTAACTATATTTTGTCGAGCTTACATTTCTCTTTCTGTGCGTAGAAATAAGGTATATTCATTATATCCAGAGCTAATTCAACGTTGGCATCTAATAAATGCATGAATCCTACATCTCTTTGGCCTTCAAGTCTCAAGGCTAACAACAGTTTTCGTTCTGTCATTAAACAAAACCTCTTTGATCATGGTCATTAATCTATAAAAATTAGTTTTTGTATATATGTTATATTTAAAATAAATTTAAATGTACCAATCTCTCTGAAACTGTTCTTGAGAGAATAGAATTGTCAACTGTAACGCAGGTCGCAAATATACCAATTACTCATGAACTCAGGTTTAAGACGATAGTTAGATTTTCTTCCATCTTTGGATATTTAAACTGGGTTCTCACCTAGGGATCGCAAAGGGGGAAAAAAATCAATGAGGAGCTATTACTTACTCTCTGAAGAGGGGTTCTTCTGCCTTACCCGATTGGAGCTGTGAATAATTCAGCATGATCCCAGGCTCCTTTTTCCTTTCTTGAGGTTGAGCTTATTAAAATTGCATGGCCAGAAGACACTGGTGAGGAAATGGCTGGCACCCTCCATCTCAGCTGTCAGAACCCCCAATCTCAGCCCACTCTCTGGGGACACTGGGCTGCCATCAGCTGGGGATGTCCCATGGGTGAATGAAGAAAAGGAGGAAGAGCCGCTAAGTGTCTCCTGCACGCGGTAGTTTTTGTCCCTTCTCTCAGCGGCCATCCTGGTAGTGGTGGAAATGGGATGCTGTCTCCGTGTTCACTATTGATGAACTGAGTCATCCCTGTCGGCTGCCTCATTAAGTATTAAGAGTTCACTGTACTCTAGGTAAGTGCTAAATAGGGCACCGTTTTAGAAGCTGTCCAAGACTAATCCATCTCCTTCAGTGAGATACGGAATCTCTAGAGAAAGCATCTAAACAAAAGAGTCAATTGATTACAGTCAGTGCTATGGTGTTTTCTTTTGGGGGGGAGGGGAAATCTGATGACGCTACAAAAGATTTTTTGAAATAACTTTTGAAAGTGCTATGGTTCTATAGGAGCATTTTTTTTTTTTCATGAGTCAATATATAAAGTTTCTAGGACCAACTAGGATTCAACTTGGAGGCTGAAAATGGCGGGAACCAAATGAGACTTTTAAAATCCTATAGACCCGGGTCAGATTTATTTAAGCGTTGTCAGGGAGGTTGAAACTGAATGTGAAATCTGATTAATCGTGAAAGGAAGGAGGAAATCTGAGACGGACATCGTCACCAAGCACTATTCTGGCAGCAAACATTTGCCCACCATCTGAATCTTCCTTTAAGTCTCTGGTTGTAATCCTTCCCTCTAACCACCCACCCCCATCCCACTTCCTGTTCTTCCTCATTAGGTTAATGTTTTCCCCTCCTCCTATTTTCTCTCTTTTTCATCAGTTTATTTCATTTCTCCTGATGCTCAAGATAAAACATGATTATTATAGAAGACTTTGATAGGAAAGTATAGAAGAGCAGAAAAACCTCATCTGAAATTCTACTACCAATAGACAAATTACTGTTACTTCATATATCCTTTTGCATTTCTTTCCATGTTGTAAATCATACTTTTTATATAATTTTTTATTCCAATTTTTATTTATAATTATAAGCATTAAAACTTGGCATCAAAACGTCTCATAATCATAATTTTAATGGCATCATAATACTCTACCATATGGATATTCATAATTTACTTAACCTTTCCTTTCAAGTTAAGTGTTTATATGGTTCTAATTTTAGACTGTTATAATGTAATGATAAACCCTTGTGTGTAAATCGTTAACCATATTTTTGATAATTTGTTGAGGATAAATTTCTAGAACAGGAATTATTGGCTCAAAAGGTACATACTTTTTTTTTTTAGTTTTAGTTTCTTCACAAACAATGACAAATTTCCTTTCAGAAAACTTGGGCTAGTTTCATCTTACCTAAATTTACCTACACTGAAAATTCTTTTTTCACTCAAGTATATGCTAATTTAATTGATGAGAAATAGTAACTTGTTTTTGAAATTGTCATTACTATGATTATGAGACAGGTTGAACTGGAAGAAATGGTTATGTTTCTCCTTTTTGAAGTTATCTCTTCAATTGCTTTGTCTTTCCTATTCCTTACGTTTCCATCTTACATGAAATTAATCCATCTTCAGGATGTATGTCACTTGGCTTCTCCTCTAGTCCCCCCACCCAACCCCCCCCTTAATCCTTTGCTGCCCCTTATAGATTTCCCTCTCAAGGCCAGTAGGTTGACAACTCCTGGTTTACAGGTACCAAGCCCTCACAGGTGTTCAGAAAATGAATCCCAGTAGCTACTTAAATGGGTTCAGGAACACTTTGGGTTTTATGGCTCTTGGAGTTGGTTAATGTTTCGGGCAACTCCAAGAGAAATGAGACCTTGTGTTGCTCAAATCTGTATGTCCAGCACCTGGAACACAGCTGGCACACACAGAAGGCAAGGTGCTCGGTGCACATTTGTTTAATGAAAGGGCAAATCCTTTTCAAGTTTCCAGCTTCTTTGCAGTGATCTGGCTGTCCTCACCCACAGCCCTATCCCTGATCTCAAGAAAAGTACAAGAGGGCTGCCAAGCAAATTTGAAATTAATCTACGTTTTGCAATTTGTACAAGAATGTAATTAGATTCCTTCTCCAGAGGTAATCCGTTCACGTAATCAGTGACGGTAGTTACTCGGCATGTAGCCTTAAAAAATTGCTGATGCCTCATGAAAATAAACACTTGCCTAGTAAAATTCTGTGCCCGTTCTAGCCATCTATCCGTTTTCTTTTTGTATAAGACATGGTATCTCCTCTGCAGCATGTCCACTTAGAGACAGAAGCCAGGTCAGTTCCCTGGAGGCTGGGAGGGCCCCCCTCAGTCACCACACCTGTGAGGTGGAGGGCTGCTGCTTTCTGTGGGAGGTGCAGAGCGGCGTGGCCATCACCATCAATCAGGTATTTCTCCCATGCTGGCTACCCAGTGCTCACATAATTGGCCATCTGATACAGTCAGCACTGCTTGTTGCTATACAGCTTAACTCTTTTTTTTTTTTTTTTTGAGTAGAAGTGTAAGCATGAATTAAGCACCAATTAAACTCGTGTAAACAGGGGCGCAACTTCCTTTCTTCCTCCTTCGCTGATTCTTCGTTCTCCTGCCAGAAAGCTTTCCCTAGCCCTGGGGTGTTGTGAGTCTTCAATTATCCTGCTTTTAACGGCAGTCAGGCCCGTGCCCAGCAGGGGCCCTGAGCCTCCCCTCCAAGGCCTGTGCGGATACACCAGTCAGGCCCCAAACCCGGGAAGCAAGAGGTTGGTAATGGAGGCATCACGCCCCGGTTGAGAAAAGCTTGAGAAGGTCATCTGAGCACAGCTGTCAGCTGCCCTCTCTAGTAACCAGGGGGAAAGAGATGATGTCAGTTCCCTGAGCTGGGAAGTTCTCCAGTGACTTGGAACAGATGGAGGGAGAGTGTACTGATTTGCACGTGGTGATCCTGGAGGAGTCTGTCAGTTCTGAGATGAGGTCTCCATCCTCCATCCTCGGCTCTCTAAGGGAGGTTGGGTGCCCCTCCTGTATATCGCTTTCAGCACGCTTTGTACTTCGTATCGCAATCATTTACCGTAGTGCTTGTCTACCCTAGGGCAAGGAACATGTCTTATTCACCTTTTAATTCCAGGGTCTAGTATGGCATCTGGCACGTAGTAGTCATGAAAAACAATTCTTTAATGAGAAGAAGTTAAGGAGTGTAAGAGTGGAGTCGTTGCCTGCAGGGGCAGCTCAAAGCATAATGGTGCCGACTCAGAATTGTTGAAAGTAGAATTTATATTGCTCTCAACTGGGTGAGCTCTGTTTTGAGGAAGAATTTTCTCCGTTTTCCATATTCACTCCGGAAACCTTTCTCCAAGTGATGGTCCCCCAGAGCTCTTCCTCCATTTTCAGGCTGGTCCTTCTCACAGGTTCCTGTGCATCTCAACACAGACAGACACTGGGAGCTAAACTGTGGGTGTTATAACTCCCACGTCCTACTAGGGCATGTGTTCTGCCAGGGAAGAGTCTTAGCCTCTGGTCACACAGATGCTTCCAAGGAGCTCAGTGTTTGGAAAGTCCGGAGCACTCTGACTTGTACCTTTGCTGGTCAGAAGGATGTTGAGAATTCCATGCATCCCTGGGGGTTCTCCACCAAATAGTACTTCTCCCTTTTGAAAAATTGGCAGCACGTTGTTCAGCTGCTTCTTTTTTTTTTGGCGGTATGCGGGCCTCTCACTGTTGTGGCCTCTCCCGTTGCGGAGCACAGGCTCCGGACGCGCAGGCCCAGCGGCCATGGCTCACGGGCCCGGCCGCTCCGCGGCATGTGGGATCTTCCCGGACTGGGGCACGAACCCATGTCCCCTGCATCGGCAGGCGGACTCTCAACCACTGCGCCACCAGGGAAGCCCTGTTCAGCTTCTTTGACTTCACTGTGCCTCTGTCTGTATCCCATGAAATAGTCCCCCACAGAATTTCCAAACTGTGGTCCCAGGACCAGCAGCCCCAGAATCACCTGTGTGGGCTTGCAAAATACCCGATTTTTGTCCTGCCAGTTCAGACTACTGAATCAAAATTGTAAGCAGGGCCCAGGAATCTGCATTTTAACAAACTGACAGTTATTCCTATGTGCTAGCTAAAGTTGGATAACTCCTGCTCTAGGGCATGGGGAGTTGGTCTGCCTGAGATCAGTGGTCCTAAAAGATGTCTGGTCCAGATGGTGCCAAGGGATAGTAACTGCTTCCTTTCTACAGCCTGCTTCTTGCTGATTCATAGTTATATATAAAGCTTGTGATATGAACTGTTGGGGTTAGAGTATGAGTAAGATGGTGCAGCTGTCCTATACTGCGTAAAGTCCAAGATGTCTGCATTCATACATGAATCACTTTAATACATGGCACACTGGGGCACATCAGTGCCATGAAAGATGGGGAGAGGAGAGAGCGTTTTACTGAGGTTAGGATGATCTGGTGAGAGTTTAATGGGAGGTAGGATTCAAATTGGACCTTGAAGCGTGGCTAGGACTTCCCAGGCACACTCGGGAAACAAAGACTGTCTAGACTGCTGGAGCCGCTTGAGCAAAGTCCCGGAGATCAGGAGGATGCTGGGATGTCCCGTGTGGCTGGAACGGAGAATGCACCGAGGCTTACTCATGGGGAGAAGAGACTGAAGGAGGGGTAAAACTCACGTACATCAGGACTCTCTTCTGTTTGCCCAGGGTAGCCTTGGAACATTTTCTAGTGGGATTTGATGTGATCCCATCCTCTGGGTACAAAACCTGGTCCACGTGTTTGCATGACCATTCTATTTCCCCACGTTTGGGTTCACAAAGTCCTTTATTCCCTTTGTGTCATCTCACACCCCGTGCCCTCAGAAGAGTTCTAGGCCATCTGCGCTTCTGTTCTACGTGGCAGAGCCGAGCCTTGGTGAGAGAGCAGAGGACAGAGAGAGAAGAGACATGGTTTGGTCATCTCTGCGTTGTCCATGCTACTGGAGGGACAGACGTGGGAGGTGACAGTCCACGACGGTGGGTGACAGCAGAGGCATTTATATTTGGCTTTGCCGCGCACGGCGTGATTGCTGGCAGCAGGAACAGATTTACCTTCCTAATTAGGCAAATATTCAAATGAGCTGGCACTCCCTGAACACATGCCACCGAATTGCAAGGCCCTGTCAAAGAAATCGTATCCATTTTCATTTCAGTATTAATTATTTACATAAATACTAGTTGGAGTACTCTGGGGCATTAGCAGTAAGAGATCCCCATCATATTGGCTTCTATGGCAAATGGGCTCCCAGCTGTACATCTTCATTTGTGATTGAATTTTTTATGAAGCTGGGAATAACCTCTATCAAATTCAGAATCATTGAATCAAGCCTTCTGATTTATTGTAGTAAGGGATGTGTTATAAATTATACTGATAATAGTTTCCTCGTTGGTGTAGAATTCTTGCTCGAAGACGGATTTCTCTGTGTTGCAGTGTACACAGTAGGCTGGGAAAGGCCATTCGTGGTTCTAATTCCCTTTTGAACTTTAGTTTCCACTAAAGTACAGTCAGATGTAAATGATGGGCTGTACTCTAAGCCCATATGTGGATAGAACAGAAGTTATAACCGTCAATAAAAGCATTCATCTGTCACTTATTCATCTCATCATGGAATTTTATAGCTGGAAGCAACATTGGAGATCATCTAATCAAACTTTATCATTTTAGTGATGAAGCCCAGAGAAAGTTAAAGATCTTGAGGCTGAGGTACTGAAAGTGTGTTTGTGGGGTACAGACTAGCCAAGGGTAAAAAGAAAAGTGGATGGGTTACCAAAACCAAACCAAACCCTAAAAACCCTCTGAGGATAATGCCAGGTTGCTTGTCTACATATATTTCAGTCACCATACTTCCTAGGGGTCCATGATGGAGAGGTACTCCTACTTGTTCCTTAACAGTTACCCACTGAGCCCCAAGAAATTGCCAGTCGCCCTCTGAGGTCTTGGAGTACGCTCGTGAACAAGGTGGGCATCGTCCTTGCCATTTGGATCTTACATTTCCCCTGGACACACTGTGCTTGTCTGCTGGCTTCAGGCCTGTCTACCCAGCTCAGCCTTCCGGCTCCTAGGTGTGTGATGTTTCTTAAGCTTGCCTGCTGTTTGGCTTTCTAATGAGAGCAAACAGAAGAGCACAAGAGGGATTTTTTTTTCTCTCTGTTTAATCACCAGGAAAAGTTGGACTGGATGAGAGCAAGAGAAAGAGCAGAGCTGCAGTGATGTTCTCTGATTCCAGCTTCTCAGCGTTCTCTGGGAGGCTGGCCAAGCAAACGCCCTCACCCAGAGGCCGCTGTGCATGTTGGGAGGGACCGGGTAGAGGGAGCTCGGATCTCAGGAAGGGCTTGTATGGAGGGGGAGAGGAAATGGAAAGGTTCCCCAGCGTCTCTGACTAAACCACGTGCAAGTTCGGGAAATTACGGAGATTAGGTGGAGGGGAACTAGACAAAGGGAAACGTGGGAACGAGCGAGGGGAAAGCAGATGTGCGAGTGTCTGTGTGGCGGTGGTGATGCGGTTACCAGAGCCCCTGAGAGGAGTCATGAAAGCCCTGAGCAGAACTTCTCTCTCCCCCGGTCACAGGCAGACATCACCCGCGGGAGGGGAGGCAGGCGCTGGGGCATCGTATCTGTGCCCTGTGCACATGTTGAAAGAAGATAACAGAGCCAAGTCAACTGCCTGGGGCCTGCATCTTTCCCAAGATACAGAAGATTATTTAAAAGGGATTGTCTCTGTCCCTCCAAGAACAGTTGCAGCGTATGGGATGGGTCAAGAGCTAGAATAAAGTAATCCAGGGTAAGGGAAGGCCTGGGAAAGAAGCTGATGAGACACGCCTTGAGAGTGGGAATACTCAATGAGAAAACTATTAAAGTAGCAAAAAAATAGGTAAATATTTATCTGATGCTCTGACAGGGGAAAGATTTTCTAAGCTTAAGGGGAATCACAAAGGAAAAGACTGATAGGTTTGTCTACATT